AGACTGCATTTAATTTTTACTTTTTTTTTTGTAGAAATGCTGCCCTCCAGCGGTGTGGAAAAAGTGGTGCCTGGCGTGTGCAGGTTGGCAGACACCATAATGCAGCTGCTGCTTGTTTTGCTACGAGGGAGCAGTGGTCCATGTATTTCTGAGTATCCCGGGCCCGGGAATTACGTGCCAGCCTCAGGAAAGCCGTCGTCGCCACCGCGTCCTGGCTGCGCTGGCCACCTCTCCCCCAGCCTCGTGTGAGTCGCGTGGGAGCTGAGAGGGCCTCGCTTTTCCCTCTCCTTTGTTGATTTATATAYATTTTCTCTTTTGTTAAGTGAACAAAGGCACACAAACCACTTGGCACACATTTTGCCAGCAGTATAACATCATGCTACCCCTTCAGTTTTCCTTTCTGCTTCTTTAGAAGCCAGTCTGGAAGGGAAATGCTTACTGCTTTTTCTTTYCTGTGCCTGGCACTTGGGACTCTTTTTGCAGTCTCCCCAATATCTACCTTTCTATTTTGGCAAGGTGAGAAAAGAGGCCTTTGAATCCCTCAGAAAGGGGATGTTGGGAGCAAACGCAGTTTCCGAGCTGTCCAGCAGATGCGGCTGTTGGMCCAAAAGCGACTCCAGGTGGGCTCAGAGGCTGCCGAGGACTCGGGTTGCGGGGCTTAAACAGCCCCCATGGGGCTCGCGGAGAGGTGAGGGGCAGACTGTGGGATTTGGGGTAAAGTGGAGGGGTTTATCATTATAAAGGGGCTCAAGCAGGTGCTAAAGCAGCATTAAAAAACGGTTTTGAATCTGTGGAATCTGTTTTGTGCAGCTTGGGCCCGTCTTTTATCCAGCACTTCCAGAGGCAGCGCCCTGCTCTTTGACACTGGGAGAGCTGTTTTACACGTCTGTCCTCGTGGCATTAGCTGAGGCTGCTGAGCACCAGGACTCCAGGTGAATGCGACTCCAAGGGATAAAAACACCAACTATTTTCCAATGAAGGGAGTTTTTACCTGTGAGAATTCTGAATATATTTCTTATAAATAGCAGCAAGCCTCAGTCCAGGCAGAGGATTTGTCTCCGTGTTGATGCCCTGTTTCAGCAGTGCTGGGGTTGGTGGTTCACGGAGTCGGATAGCAAATAGCACAATGGCTGGTGTGATTTTAAGGCACTGTGTACAACATAAAAATACTATTGACCTTTCAGAATGAAAGTGCACGTGAAGTGTTCACTGACTTTATAACTGGGCAGGCCCTGGGTGATGCTGTGGAGAGGGGACAGCACAGTTGTCACTGTTTAGCTCACTGCATTAAGGCTTTTATTGAGAGGTGTCCATGCAGGCCAGGGTAGGTGCCTGGCCCCCGTCTCTTGCCCCATAGGGCAATTTCTGGGTGTCCAGAGCCCGTCCTAAGTGTCCTGTGGGACCGAGGAGGGTCCTGCTTTGCCCTGGGACTGCTCACTGTCTTGCAGCACTGAAACCTCAGGCTATGCAAGGAGACCCCTGGCCACCTCACTGTCCTTCCCAGCTGTGCTCCTTCGAGGAGGAGGGTCTAAGAAGATGCTCTGGTCTAGGAGGTCCAGATTTTGCCATGGGTTTATTGAAAACTTAAGTTTTTAAAGAGGTTCAAGGGGAGCTGAGAAGCATTAGTAGTGACTTCATGAGCCCCTCTGCCTGTGAATGTAGTTCTGTGCAGGTGGTAGGACCACTTGAGGGTTAGGGTTAGCAGGTTTTGCCCTTTGCACTGCTTGACCCTGCTTGCAAAATGTAGCCTGATGCTTGTTTTCTCCTTAGAGAAATAGCAGGGATTCTGTTTTTCCTTCTGCTTTCAGGGGCCTCTGTAGGGGTTTCAGCTTGTGTTCAAAATGATGAGTAACTTTAGAAGAACAGCATCTGGTACAATGCAGGCACCAAGCTAGTACTTCTTTAATATATCTGGATATAGGTGATAAAATATTAAAAAAAAATGCATATGTTTTTTTTTTTCTTTTACCTGTAATTTAGGTTTTGGTATGTGAAGGAATTCTTTAGCAGCTTGGGTAATGATTTTGGAAATGTTGCTGGTTAGTAACCTCTATACTACTGAAAAGCAACTTTGTTACTTCCAAAAAAACTTTTTATTTAAATTTATTGAAAATTTATTGAAAATTGAAAATTTATTTAAATTCTMCTTGTTGCAATATATTGCAATTAGAAAAAAAAAACCCACTTCATCCTCATTTGTACTTGTAAATAACCTGACAAAACAGCAAAATCAAAGTATTTAGCATATACAAATGAAGTAAAAATGTATTCTATTTCCCTTTATCTGGAGGAATGGTTTGAATGAGATAAATCAGTAATGCTGGTTTTGTCATGCAGCTTCTTTGTGGCTCTCTCAAATGACCACATCAAGCGTTGCTGAGCTGCACGTTTATCTTGCTGCTCAAAGGTGGCTACTTTCCTCTGTTTGTCCGTAGCCAGGTGACTGTGTCGTGGAGCAGGGTGCCTGGCCCTGGCCCTCGCCCCAGCTCTGCCTCCTGGTGCAACATGGACRGGGCGTCAGATTTTTTAAATCAATGTTTCTTTAGGTGCCCCATCCCGTTCAATGCTTGGCTGCTGACCCCCAGGCCGGGTGTCTGGTGGTTTCCTGATGTCCCCTCCCTGGCGCATGGGGCACAAGCTGGGCGGCTTCCCGCGACCAAGCCGCGCTGCTCTTTGCCCCCTAGGATTGGCCTTGAATGCCAAAAAGCAGCTTTAGGAGCCTGTTTTGAGAGGTGACTTTGTAAACGTTGGGCCCCCCATGTACCTGCTCCTCAGCCCTGCCTTTGCTCCCTGTTGCTGCCCAGACTGCAGCTCTGAGGCCGTACGTCCCCTGCTCCAAAGTGTTTGCCCTCCAGGACTGCCGTGTCCCGTCGGTGACGTGCCGTCTTCGGCAGGCACAGAGGAGCAAAGAAGCTTCAGGCATTTATTTTTAATAGATTACCTTAGAAAGAGGCAGGAAGAAGTTGTGCAGGCAGGACACACGCTTTTCCTTATTTAAGTTCAAAGCTGAGCATAGCTGTAATCTAAACGTATAGTTATTGGCACCGATCTCTTTGCCCTTGCTGCAGTGGTCTTTCCTCCCTGAGCTCTGCAGGGAAAAGATGGGTTCTGCATAGTAAATGTATGAATATTTTCTTCTTTATCCATCCATCTATTTTGGGATGTGCTAAATGCTTGTTCTCTGCTGTAACGTTAACATCAGCATGTGGAAAGTTGGGTGGCTAAAATAAATGGGTGCAGCGCAGTGCCCGTGCCTTCGGGGGAGCTGCGCGTGCGTGGTGGAGCGCGACGGCGCGCGTGGCCGCCCGGGGCTCTGCGTGCGGCCGCGGCGCGCAGGGCCCCGCGCGGGGCTCCTTTGTGCCAGGGCACGGTCGGGGTTTTGCTGGAGGCAACGAAAAGTGGGGTGTTGGTCTGTGCGGGTGCTGACGTGCGAGGCCCGGAGCGGTGTTGCCCGCGAGGCCGGAGCGGTGTTGCCCGTGAGGCCCCACAGGTGTTGCTTTTGGTCTTTGTGTTGGGGATTTGGCTCAGTCCAGCCCATTTTTCTGGCCACGTGAGAGGGGCTCTTCGTTCGTGCTGGARTAAACTGGCACTCTTGGGTTCGTCTGAGTTGTGAGTTTAACTGGGAACTCAAAGGGGAAACTCGACTCGTGCTGCCTGCCCTGTGTTTCTGCCCACAGTGGGACCTGCGGGAGCCCCTCAAAGATGCCCTTTCCAGCAACCAGCCTCCATGGAGTCACCCAGGAGCAGCCCCTGCCCCMGAAACGGGCTCCAACCTCGGGAAAAGCAGCAAGCTCCAGGCACGCCGGTGCCACCGGAGGAGCAGCCGCGTCGTGGCGTCCATGCGAGGCYGCCGGCGCCTCCACAGGGAGCCCTGACACGAGCGCGGAGGAGCGGGAGGCAATCCTGACGAATTTCCTGCTCAACAGGTAGGAGCTGCACRTGTGTCCTCTTGAATAGTCACCTAGGAGAGAACGTAGGGACTGATCTGTCACCGAAGTATGTCGAGCTGATGACGATCRTTTTGGTGTTTTGAAAAACAAAAGCCGTAAATCACAGGGAAGTAAAAGTAAAAGCAATGGGTTGTTTCATGCCAGGCTGAGGCTGCTGGTTCTTCATGTCCAAATGTGCAGATATGCCCTGGTGGCAGCTTATCAGTTACAAGCTGTTCAGGGCTTAACATTTTTTCAGTTTCATGGCAAGCTTGCAAGGTTACACATTTATGTACTGAATGAAACATAGCCCAGCGGTTATTTTTAGGAAAGCTCCAAACAAGAAACAAATCCCTGGRGTAATGTTGCCAGAGATGGGGAAAGTTCAAATCCAAATTAAAGCTTCCTATCTTTGGCTCAAGTTCCAGCCTGAGCTTTAGGAACAACTGAGCTCTATCCCTTGAACTTTATGACTCTTGAAAAATCCCAAAGAACTCAGTTACCTGGAAATATGTGAACACGGTAGATTAAAATTAGAACTGGAATGGGGAATCTGAATGTGCGTGCAAGTGTGCGGGACGCGATGTTATGTTGTGCCGTGGTGCTGTGTACCTTTGCCTCGTGGTAGCTGCAAAGAATTTGGAGAGTTGAGTTTACCAAGATTCCTAGTTCTTATCCAGTCTTAACAGATCAAATCCTACAATGTGTCTACATTGTGGCCCACAGAGTCTACAAGGACTTTGGGGTAAGAAGAACCTGCTTATTTACCATGCTGTTACCATTTACTATGTACTAATGACCTCACATTTCAACTTTGAGTTTAAAAAATGTACAAAAATACAATATGAAGAAAGTAGAGCCCTTTGCAGCAACACACTTATGCAAAGGAGTTGAAAGTAACACAACTGAAGCCTGGGCTTGATTCTTTGCTGAATCAGAGGCTGTATCTTCTTCCTGCCAAGGCAGAGATCTTAACRCCACTACTAAATGTGCTAGTAATTCTAGAAGCTCTAATGAAAGTCAAGATAATGCCACGGATTTTATAAATAAGGGTCTTTATTTAGAATACTGTTGAAAACATTCTTGGCAACCACATTGTATAAATATATAAAGTTCAAGTTTTGCACGACAAACCAAGCAACATTAAATATTTTTTCTTTTTTTTTCCTTTTTTTCCCCTTTTTTTTTTTTGCAAAGCAACTCTTATTTACAATTATACAAAAAGTTTTTATAAAAAGTGGTCCACAACCTTATTTTGGCCAGAACAGGGGTAATAGAAAGGATGTGTTATGCCATTACTCTAGAGAGTTGTAGATTTCTCCCCTGCTTTCGACAGCCAGGTTCCTATTCCCCAAAAGCCCGGATTAAATATTGGCCATTTCATGGTATACAGCTTTATCGCTAGACACGTTAAATAATTTTAGTTTAACAACCAATAAATAACTAGATGTGTTTTGAAGGAATACAGGTTTGACAAGTGATACATTTGGAGGAATTTCGAGAAATTTTAGGACTGGAACAAGAAGTCTTGAGTAGTCTTTTCAGTGGTACGAGGCTGGTCTCGGAGCTTTGCTGAACGTAACAGTTTGTTTTCAGCACCGTCCGGGCGGACCTGCCTTTATAGCACTTGGTAGATAGGGTYGGTGCTGCTGCTGTTTTCCTGGGGAAGCGGCGTGCAGCTCGGCGGGGAAGGAATTTGGACTCCGCTCTCGCTCAGGTTGGCTCCTTCTGGGGGAGAACAGGGGCTCCCTTCAGCTACGCTTTCCACTGGAGGCAGGACGGGACACGTGGAGTTATCCGTGGAAATCCTCTCCACGATGCTGGAGAGGCAGTCAAGGCTAGAAACAACAGAACTCTTGCCGGGCTTGGGATCTAAAGACAGACAGAAAAGGTGGTCAATTTATCCAGTGGGTATTTAACATGGGTAGGATGGTGTATTTTTCAGAGAACCCCAAGCAGTGGCTGACRGGGCAATTCTGTGAGCGTGCTGAGATTGAGGAAAAGAGTGTTGGTGGAAGGCATCAGTTATCTGAAAACTGAGACCGTGATTTGGAATGGCAAAAAGACCCCGCTGAAGTACAGTTTTCAGGATCCAGTGATATCTGTTTGGAACTATCCTTATGTAAAAGGTAGTTAAACTCTGAAAACTACTGGATATATTCCAACGTATTTTTAATCCAGTATTGTAAATGGCGAGTATGAAATACAGCTACAATGTACCCCCATATTTGCAACTGCATCTAGAGGGAAGAGCTGCCAGGACAGCTCGTGGGGCCGAAGGGCTGAGCCGGGGCCGGGGGGGCGCGGGGAGCGGGGCCGGCCGGCGCGCGCTCACCGTTCGGCGCCTCGCTGAAGTAGCTGCTGTCGTAGCTGTTCCTGCGGCGAGCGCCGCACGGCGGCCCGCTGTACTCCAGCTGCAAGGGAGAGAGGCCGCGTGAGAGAGAGCCCCGCTGGGGACCGCGTCCCCCTCGCGTGCCCGGGAGCCGTCCGGCTCCGTACGCCCGTCCCGCGTTGTGCCGCGGCTCCAGGCCCGGCCCAAATGCCTCCAGTTCTAGTTCCTTTGAATGGCAGGGAGCTTTTCTTGGCTGGGAAAAATATCCCCCCAGATTGTGAGCGCGGCATAGTTGCTTCAAAGGAAAACTGGCATTGTTCTAACTGATTCCGTGGTTGTTAGGAGTGGAATGAAGCCTTCCAGCCTTCTCAGAGACTGCCCTACGTGTGTACCTTCAAACTGCAGCAGGGCGACTAAGAAGGAGATAAGGAAGTCATTTTGATAGAATTTCTGAAGGCTTTTCCAAGTATGAGTTTCTCCCAAAATCCACTGCCCCACCTTTGTGCTTTTTCAATTTCCTTGGCTTTCTCTCTCCCTGCTATTTCATATAGAAAAAAAAAAAGAGCCAACATGCAACGCCGTGACCAGCGTGTTTGCTTCTGGTGCTCGCGCTCACGTTGGGATAATGGCTCTTGCTGAAAAAAGGCCATGTTTTGAGCAGGGTCCCCCTCGTAAGCCCCGTCTTTGACTCAGTTGTGACTCTTGTGGCTGGAGCCTGTAAAACCCCGGCCCTGGAAGTGCTTTGTGGTGACCCCTGCTCTGCGCTCCGGTCACCGTGTCCTGCCCCCGCCAGTCAGGCTGCAGCTCAAAGCTCTCCTCCCAGGAGGGAGGTTTAGGGGATGGAGCCCCGCTCTGGCCCTCGCCCTTCTTCTCCCCCTCTTTTCCCTCCCTTTTGCCTTGCCCCGTAATGCACGAGGAGGAGCGAGAGCCCAGGGCCTCCTTTCTGCTGTTGGTGTCTAAAGGCAATGAGTGAGCAGGAGAAGCRGAGAAGCTTCTCCTGGAGGTCAGGAACGGGGCTCCAGGACGGAGACCGCGCTCCCCTTACCAGGACGGGTGTCACCAAAGAGCTGCCAGCCCCTGCAGGCACCAAGCCCACGGGACCTCCCTCCCTCCCTCTGGGCCATCCCAAAGGATGCGGAGGGCTGGGAGGAGATGCCGGGCAGCACTCGGAGCGCTCCCGGGAAGGAGGCGCTCGGTCCTGCGGTYGCGGAGGCGCCGCGGGCACTCACCATGCCGTCGGAGCAGTTGGAGCGGGGGCTCGAGGCGTCCGACTCGCCGCTGTAGTGCTCCAGCACCGGGTAGTAGGCGTCCTCCTGCTCGCGCAGCAGCGCCTGCAGGCTCTCGATGTAGCGGATGGCGTTGCGCAGGATCTCCACCTTGGGCAGCCGCTGGTTGGGGTTGGTGGAGGTGCAGCGCTTGAGCGTCTCGAAGGCCTCGTTGACCTTGCTGAGGCGCCGCCGCTCGCGCATGGTGGCGGCCTTGCGGCGGTCGGCGTTGGTCGTCTTCCTCTTGCAGGCCTTGCAGGCCCAGAGCAGGCAGCGGCCGGCCTGGTGGTGCCCGCTGGGCGCCCGCACGTGCTCCTCCTCGCGCRGGTGCCCGTGGTGGTGGCCCGCGTGGTGGTGGCCCGCGTGCTCCTCGCCCTTGAGCAGCCCGCCCACGTGCACGAGCCGCGGGTCCAGCTCCTCGAAGAAGTGCATGTCGGCCGCGCTGAAGCACGCGTCGTCGTAGAAGTCGTCGCCCACGGGCGGGAAGGAGCAGAGGGAGCCCTCGGGCATCTCCATGGGGCCCAGTAAGTCCATGGGGGCGGCGGGCGGCCCGGGCGGCCGCGAGCGGAGCAGGGAGCAGCGGAGCCCGCGGAGCCCTCGCGCCCCGGAGCCAGGCGAGGCCACGAGCGCCGCCGCCGCTCGGCAGCGCCGCCCGGGGCGCTATTTATGCCCGAGCCCCCCGGGACGGGACGGGACGGGACGGCCCGGGGCGGGGCGGGAGGGAGGGAGGGAAGGCAGGGAA